ACGGAACCGAACCGACCCGAACCGAACCGAACGGAACCGAACCCGAACGGTTCCATAATTATATTTGGACCCGACGGGTCCATTTATTAAATACCCGAAAGTTTTGGGTCGGTTCAGGTATCTTCAGAACCGAACCGAACCGACCCATGGACAGCCCTAGCAGACACTTCATGCCCTCAACTAAACTTTAATAAGGCTACGTTTGATAGACTTTTGCTTTTATTTTCGCTTCCAACCACGCAAAGCATTAAAAAAAAATATTCAAACATGATCAAAAAAAACTTCTTAATTTGATAAGTAGTTTTTGACTTTTTTAAAATTCCTACCAAACAGGACGTAAGACTCATTCATGTAATAGTGGCACCCATGTCATATTGACATTGGAACTATTGTTCAATTATGAAAAAATTATAGTTATGTCTCATTCTTTTGTAAGCTAATATATACAGTTATCCATTTCACATTGATATATGCTGGAAAATGGGTCTTGAATTATCGATGTAGATTGAAATGACTCATATATTTTGATACAATCATGTTACATGTACATTAAGTTTTATATTAAGTTTGACATAGAATTTATCGTAACCTTTGATTTTTACAACACTCTGTTGGATGTAAAACGCAAAATAATAGAGAAGTGAAATAAAAAAATCAAACACAATTATTTAACGTGATTTGACGATGTACTTGTATCCACAAGGAGTGAAGCGGTGATTTTTATATAGTATTTATACTAACCCTAGGCCAAGCTCATACAAAATTTTAGGGTCCGTACAAGAAAAATACGCATGTACCGTACTGCAAGGGCACCCCCAACCTATTCAGCGTCCCCAACAAACAAATACGGAATTAAACCCACAAGGCCGATGCCTTCACTCCGCTCCGACATTGGCCATTTTGATCCAGTAAACTTGTGTTCCACTCTATATGAATCACATATACTTCACACCATTTTACATAACTTGCCAAATTTTTGACACAGGGAGATATCAACGAGAATGTACAATCAGTAGCTTAATTGATCTTGATACAGGTCTGAAGACTGTCATTGTGTCAAAATACTTTACAAAAATCGACTTTTAGATAGAATCGAACTTTTTCATTGTATTATAGGGTTCGCTCTGGCCGAAGAATTTTCCAAAAGGATTTAATAAGCCCCCGGCACTGAGCTAATCCAGAGAATGAGTCTCTCTCAAAGAGATTGGACAAGGCAGCAAAGGAATCAGCTAAATCTTGTGTTATTAATCTAATATACAACTAATATTAACCTTCCTTGTCCCCGGATAAAGAAAACAAAGAAGAAAAACGACCATAAATAATTGTCCTAGTATGTTGAGAAAATAACACTGCCTAACTCGGCTAGTAGGTGACTTCCTCTACTGACAACACAAGAAGTTGAGCTACCACATCTAACTTATCAGATATTTATCTTCTCTAGTACATTGGTGCTACTATACTACTGCCGAGTACTGTGTATCAGACATGTACAAATAGATTCCTCTGTTCGCCTTCGAACTAATAGTTTTCTTCGACACAAAAACCACAAACTCTCGAGTCTTGATCAGTCTAGTGCATTCTACAGAAAGAAGACTTCTGATTTGTTGTGTACATTTTCTTCGTCCTTGTGAGTGGCTACCATTTTGTACAGTGCAACCAAAGACGGTCGTTCTTTAGAAGAAAAAGTGAGTATACCAAAGTGTTCTCTGTAATGTGCTGCTGTGAAAGCTTCATCATGTGTGGCATCCGGAAGGCCATATTCAGGCATTAATTGTTTCTTTTCTCATTCATCAGATGAAATGACAACGAAAACATCATTAAGGGACCATTTTCGCGGTTTTGACTTGTCCACAGGATTAATTACTGCACGCTCTGCTGTTTCAAGCCGATATCCAATCACAATTTCCTGCCGTTGACGACCCCTGATCATTATATCATAGAAACAGAGTTCTTCCTTGTCATAAAGATAGAATTCTGCTGGCTTAATGCACATTTCATTTCCCTGCAGATAGATATGGAGTTAGAGAGAGGAATGTAAATTTTACACAATGCATTTCATCTCGACTAGCAGATTAAAAAACATCATTTGAATCCTTCCATATTACTTCTGCAGAATAGAAAAAATGAAAGCCAAAGGAATACTTTCACTTGAAGTGGAAAACCTTGTCTATAGAAATATAATGAAGAAAAGTGTTTTTCAGTACAAGGTCGATTAATATTGAAGAAAAGATCAACAGAAAAAGACAAATCTTTCTCGGTATCAGCTTCAGAATTCTTGCTACCAATAAAAGAACGGTAAAGACAACAACAGGAAGAAATAAATTATTTCCCTTTATTAGAATCCCACATTGTTTGGGAAAATATAAATGATCCACTTAATAAGGTGAGGGCAATCCTCCCCTAATAACCCGGTTTTGTTAGGTGGAGTTAGGCCCAATATTCCTAACATGGTATCAGAGCTAGGCCCAATTATGCAATGTTGGGTGCCACCCAATATCGATTTGTTCACAATTGTTTGGCATGATCCACGCTCTGCGTGAGGGGGCGTATTAG